ACTATATTGTATTATCTTTATTGCGTCCCGAAGAAATGTAATTATGTAATTATATAATTATTAAGTAAGCTAATAAATAATGTCGAAATTTTCTATATAAAAAATACTAGTGTTGTTTATACAGATATAAAAAATTATAAAGTAGTTCAGTAAATCAAATACTCTACAATGTTATTTATTTAAATATAAAATAATAGAAAATACCAAACATTTTCCAATAAAACTATACTTATAATAATATATAACATTCATTTCAATTCTGATATATGTATTCTTTCTTTTATAAGATATAAAATACTACTAGTTATCAATAAAAAATACTAATAATTTTATTTTTTCAACAGCCTCGCCTAATCGAAAAAAACTAGTACCTGTACGATTAGAGGCGGAAAGGTGATGGATTAACAATGAGTTGAGAAGATTTCGTAAAAAAGTTCCTCAAACCTATAGAAAAGAGTTTAATAATAACAATAATTTTATTTATATATTTAAATATAAAATAGTAAACATTATCAAATGTTGTGTATCATTGTCATATGTCATGTTATTTATTTCGATGTAAGATACCAATTATTATTTCAATAGAGAATACAGTAGTATCTACTATTTATTTTTTTTTTTTAATTATAAGCCTAATTTAAAAAAAAAAAAGAAAAATCTATTAAAACTAATTTCAATTAGGCACATACCTCTTTTCATATTATTAATAAAAACCCAATATTGTACAATATCCTAAAGAATTTATCAAAAAAAATGTCTACATATATATGCATAAATGTTTTATTTAAAGTGGTATAAGTATATTGCAGTCCAAAAAATCTTATTTTATTAATTGTTATCAAATAATAAAATTCATATATAACATATTTATAACCCTTAAATATCTCACAAAATAAGAACAAATGGACTTATGCTACTTTTAAAAAAGACACAAACTCATTCATCCATATGAATATATACATATAATTTAGTCGTAAAATAAATAAATTAAGTTATATTCAGTTAAAATAATACTTGTAAACCAGACATATTTATATTTGTCATTTTAAAAGAATTGATATTTATTATCTATTATTTTTTCTTATTTTTTTTTAACGAAGAAGACTTATTATATCGCCATCGTTTTTAAAGTATTAAAAGTTTACTAAAAAAGGGGAAATAACTAATTGTAAAACGGAAAAAAAAACAACTCGGAAATGATGTGGCGAAGGACGCGAACGATAATGCATTCCCGTTATCGGAAGTATAAATTTTAATGGTGACTTTCGATTTCAACTCGCCGTACATGCTGAAAGAAACGTAAGGGTGAGCTGAATCGTTGGAAGGATCTGGCGAAAGACAAAAAGTAAAGACGAGAAAAAGGGAAAAATCGAGGAAGAGCGGAACGACGGGGAAGATCAAGGTCTTTTAACTGTAAGAAGATTGCGTCATTCATGTGGTGCACAGTGCAAGTAGCCAGTAGCCGTGGATCACATGTGACGTCAGTGCCATTAATGTTCAACGTTTCAGCAATGAGATAAAGGATTTCAAACAAATATCGTTCATTGAAATGTATATTTTATATACAATTTATTCCTAATACTAATATATATCATTTTTTATTATTCATTTATTTACGTATATTATATATTTACATTTTATATTTTTAAAAGCTCCTTTGGAAATAGCTTAATAAGAAAAATAAAATCCGGATGAAATCAAAGTTTTATTCATTTATTTATTATTTACATTAATTACTTAATCGAGCAAGATGAATGGATTCAAGTATCGCAAGTGGAATCTATAAATAGAATCAAAGAATGCTTTCATGCTAGGCTTTCATCTTAGGACTCTTACAGAAACTAACCTATATAGGACAAAATAATTGATAGAAAAAAACTTTATATTTGCGACTGCAACAAGTACAATATTTGCATCGAAAGAGAACATCTATATTATTTTATCTATTATGTGTGTATATATAAAAGTGACAAATATAAAACCGATCAACTAAAGATTCTTACATTATTCCTTCTTCCTATCATTTCATAATTCTTAGCAAATATTTAAGACTCATGTATCAATGAATAATGGATAAATTGTCCTTTTAAGAATACCGATTAACTTAATATATTAAATAAGATTTTACTTAGAAAAATTTTACATATCAATACTATTGTAAACAACAACTGGCATTTAGACTTTAATCGTATACAAATGTGTAGTATAAGGAATTTTTATAGAAAGAAAGATACATATTAGTAAAGTATAGGATATGCATGTGAGAAGTGTGGGAGGAAGAGAAGGAAAGGAAAGGAAAGGAAAAGAAAGGAAAGGAAAGAAAAGGGAAGGAAGGGAAAGGAAAGGAAAGGAAAGAAAGAGGGAGAAAAAGAAGAGAGGGACAGAAATAAAGTATTTAGATCCTACGTCACGCCATCAACCAATAAAAGAAAAAAGCAGATGATCGTGGCAAAGGGTGAGACACTTGGTAAGTAAAAGATTACTCACCAAGACTTTGGTAAACCGTCTTTCAAGCTCTATGGCATCCGGCATCGGTTGCCTTGGTGCACCACGGACGCTGCCACTTTTCGCATGTAATCCGGCCAAAGCTCCGATACCATGACTTGTCGGCTGATAAGAATGCTGAGAGGATCCGTCTTTGATAGCCCCATGAAATACCTCCCTTACACCAACGTCACTTTCGTTGCTACGACTTTGCACGCTACCCATTGTTTCAAATTTGTTTAATATGTCACACTCGAAAAGACGAATAAAATACATACATGTGTGTATACTATATGATATATATATATATATATATATAATATATATTTTGTGTGTGTGTGTGTGTGCGTATGATGTTTGAATGTATGTATGTATGTATGTTGTATTAACACAAGCGCACAATATTCGGCGGTAACGCACGATCTTACAAAAATATCTTGTAAATAAACACAATCCAAAAACAATGTGTACTATTTCTATCAACAACGAAGAATAATGGTCAGTAACAATAACAGCGACGGCGACGACGACGACGACGTTCACGATACTTCCTCATTCTCGATCGCTTAAAACTATTCAAGCTTTATCTAGAATGAGTAATAATGAAGAATAAACGCTTGTAATCGGTTATCGTTGATTCGTGCAACAAGTATCGAGCAATCCATCGTGAACACAACTCCCATGAACTTAGAAACTCGCGTGAGACGAATCACTCTGTATTCAACACCACACATCTGCGATAGTCTCATCAAAGGGGGGACGGACACTCCCGTCTTACTTAAAATCTTTGATATACCGATATTGGCGCCATCTTTCTCGATATTTTATCTTTGCAGGTATTAAACTTCGATTATTATATTTCGATGTTCGATACTTTGTTAGAAAGGAAAATTTAAATACAGTTGTCTCCTTACAACATGCCCAAAATATTGAGATTACTTTTTTCATATATATCACTCTATATAAAAATTTAAAAATTACAATTTCTTTAATTGAGCATTTCATATTTTTCTTTATCATTACCAATTTCTTTTCTCATAATTGTTTCTTTTCTTATTTTTCACTACTACGTTATCAAAAATAGTTTACGCGAAAGAATAATATTTTTTATCTTTAAATTTATATTGTAAATTATATTTTTAAAAATTTTCATACAAAGAACGATTTCCTATAATACGAATTTATACGACGAGTAATAAGAGTCTTCTGTGCGACGGCACGAACTTTTATCTTTTTTAAAGAAAATGGGTGTACTTTGAATGATTATTCAATAAATAGGAAAACACGAAATAAATCTTTAATAATTCGAAAAAAAACTACAAAAGAAAAGATAACAAATCTTCACACTTATCGAATATTAATATTGCACTCATAAATATGACTTTCATTCAAAACGTCTAGACGATTAATTAATTAATTAACGCTTCAAAATATTACAATTAAAATAGGATATCTTTGAAAAACCAGTCAAATAATAAACTAGGTAAAATATTATATCCATTTTATATATATAAGTAAGCGCACATTGAAGTTAAATCATATATTTACAAATATTAGCGACTTAAGATTTACGCTTCTCTTGATAACAGTTGAATTAAAAACAATTTGTTACATTGAAACACATAATAAACGAATACAAATTCTTATTCAATTAAGTGCACTTTGAAAAGGAATACAAATAACATTCGTAGATACGTAATACAATGTATTTAAATCTAACAATAAGTTTATTATGCAACGCTTTTCTTTATCATTGGCACATGATTGGAGTATGATATTCTGATTATTCCGTTCAAAAGTTTTCAAAAATAATAAGGAAAATTAATTAGAAGTACGGATTACAATTTAACAGAATTAATGAATTTATTAAAAATTTCATGTACCTTAACATATTGTTCAAAATAAAGACAATAATAAATTATTCATTTTCACAATAGATACTAAAAATTCTCCTAACAATCTGCATCTATAGGAAAAATATTCATGAAAGTTAAACAAATATCTAAATATCATATCAACTGTATAAAGATGTGCAACAATCAATATACCCATCATTGTAATTTACACGATCACAAAATCGACGTTCACACTACACAGTACATGAGAGATAAAAAGTATGAAAGATAGCAGTATTTGTTGGGCAATATTTTATTCCGATCAAAGATTACAAATAATTGATCAAAACAAATTGAGATGAAAATATATAATTCTACAGAATAGATTGTCAATGATTTTACACATATCTACAGAGTAATTGGTAATTTTTCTAGACATACTAAAAATTAACAAACTATTGACAATTAGCTGACAACTTGATTGTATCATATAATTTAATATCAGTGTAAATAAAAATATTATATTGAATTGAAATAAAATATTGTCCAATGCTGGAAAATAGAGTGTTGTGTGAATGTTTACATTCCTTTATAAAATCATTTTACACAACACATATCACTCGATAATCTCCAACTATCTTTATGAACTCGGAATTGAAAAATGATCAAGAATCACCTTCAATGACGATGTCTAAGACTATACAAAGTTTAAATAGTGTTTTCAAAATGATAGAAAATAATTCTTTATAAAACACTAAGTCTCATATTGATACTATGAAAAAAAATGCTTAAGTGCTATTATTAAAAGCGTAAGTAGGCAGTGCAGTATTAAAACAAAATTTCTGTCACTCTAAAAATCATATAAAATAAATTATTTTCAAACGTAACACACAACAAAGTACGATGATTACTTTTTTGTCTTATCATTGCAATCTGCATAGAGTAGTTTTCTGTTTCACTGTATTTCGCACATCAGTCATATATATATATATATATATATATATATATATATAAAGCATATTATAATATTAGTACAACAGCACTTTAAATGAATCGTTGTGATTTTTTATCTTTGTGTTTTGATAAATAAGCTTCCTTCAATATGACAAAAATTTGAGACTAGGCTACTAGCTGCAATAAAAAAAAATTAAAGAGTGCTGCAATCATCAAGAATGACAATCGCTCTATTTAAACAATATGATATGCACCCACAATATATTTTAACATTATCACAGCATTTCTGTTTATCAAAGTTTTCTTCAATACACATGTAAACATATTTGTTATATTTAAAAATGAAATGAAAAACAATAGATCGCGAATATTGAAAACATACAAATATTATTAAAACATGATTTTGAATATAAGACTAAATCTACTTGTGTACGAGATATTTCAATGGATCTACAAAATAATTTCTAGATGTAATCTTCAACTGGAGATGATTGTAAGTTACTTAAAATAGCACCAATAAATTATCTCAAAAGTGTAGAAGTTAGCAATGTGAATTTTAAAAAGGACGATACCTCTTTTAATTTGGCATATGGAGATAAAAATATCACAATAAAGAATGATAAATATAATTATATGTAAATATGTATTTTAATACAAGTTAATGTGTTATACATGTGTTAGAAAAAATTGATCTCTTTACTACTTACAATTCCATCTATAATAAGTTTAGAACACCCATACAAAGGGAATAATTAAATTCTTTTATTCAAGGTATAAAGGTGCAAAAAATCGCAGAAATACGATTATCTTCAAAATTTCTAAACTTATGCAAGTCACCTCGAGAGTAATTATGCGATTATATTAAAGCTTTTTCTACTATAATAAATAATGATTTTTGTCATTAGGAAGCACATCCATCTATCTCTTAGGCCGATGGCTGAGCACTTTATTTTTAAAGAGTAATATATTAGCAGATTGTTTTCCGTTTTTGTTTTAATGATCAAGGGTTCAATGAATCTATGATGAAGCTGCCGATAGTAACATCAAATAAATAATATGCAACTTATACATAGATTTTTGTCTTATAAAGGTATTGTTTTACGTTTCTTTTATGCGCTGACTTTTTGTATTTAAACTTATGTATAATTTGAAAATCGCAGTTCACACCACATTATTGATATGGGATAAAATTCTCACTGATTAGATAGACGTACGTAGAATATATTCAATTTTTTAACTTGTACTCTACCATACATTAAATTACCCATCAAATTTTTCCTTCCATAACATTGACTGATCTCAGCGAATCGACCTATTAGCTATTATGGACTATTAAAAAGAATCTTAAACAATTTCTAAACTGACCTTTTACATCGACTCCTTGTCATTTTCTTAATAATCCATTCTCTGTTGCTTTGTTGATGTACTGTCTCAAATTAAATGATCAGTCTTTCACTCTTTTGATCACACACTTTGTGGGAAATTTGTAATCCTACATTTCACACTATAAAAACAAAGCACTTTAGCGAATATTAATATCGTTTATAGATTTAAACAAATTGACAAGAGATTTCATGTATGTACTCAACACGAAACATGCACAAAATGAGCACAAATATACAGATTCAAATGCCAGTATATGGGAAAACAAGCTTTCCACCAAAGTGTATATTACAAATTGGGAACATTTGTATACAATTTCACAGTAGACAAATATCTCACTAGATTAACTCATGTTAATTCAGGAGCTGAAGTTACATCGATAACTCCCGTATTTAATATCAAATGATTGACAGCTTGTCTTGGGTAATGAAATGACAATTATATAAACTATACTGCAATCTATGAAGGCCAAAAAAGTGGTACACTTAAACCTAACCAACAGAAATACCTGCCGGCTAAATATAATAAGCTGCGCTGTATTCACATAAACTTATGAATTTGCTCTTTTTTAATCTCCCATTTTCATTATTAACAGTCAGTAACATTATTGGTATTATAGCAATGACAAGTGCAAACAGTGCTTATTGATTGCATTTAAAACTCATGTAATTTGAGAGCTCCTGGCTTCTTGATGTTATCTTCTTATTATCATGTGAGAGGTCTGAATTATCATAAAGGCCCTGAGAATGAGACAGTCTCTAATTGTAACTGCCTCTTTCAGTGCTAGCATACTATTTATTTGCATTATGATGCATACTAAGTCATTGTATAATCTGGAGGTTAATACGGCGCATTGAACAATCATACTTTTCCAATCAGAGTTAAGATCCAAGATTCTTATAGACAATCACTCTTAAGTAAAGATAGGATGTTTGAATGAATAGATGAAACACTATTCTTTCCCTAGTAGAACACATGCCACAGTTACAACTGATTTTGGAATAATAGTATATGTACTAATACTCCATATATTTATTGTGAATCCAAAACTCCAATTGGGATGTTCACATGAATACACACTTCAACCTTATTTATTGTCCCGTTAACAGTGCTGTCTTTCACCACAATGATAAGTCCAAAATTATTAAAAGCCTGATCTAGTAATGCTACTCTTCCTCTTTAAAAAAATTAGTAGTTCATGATTTGTCATTTTCAACTTTGATCACTTCCAGACTAAGTGGCACTATAGTAAGGTTCTAAGATGTAAAACCATCATTCACACTTTATCATGAACGCGAATAGAAGACAATATATAATATAATATAATATAATATATATATATATATATATCTTCTATTAAATCTTGGATTAAAAAGTGATAATCCACAATATGAAATTCCACCAACTACTTGGATGGTATGCTCTTCTTATCAGAATTGAATTCAAGTCATATATAGAGTAAAGAATTTTCTTTAGATGAAGCTATCAATCTTGTATTACTTAGTCTAACAAGTGCGGATGTTTTGCTTAATCAAGTTTGATTAGTCTCAGCTCTTCAACATTAAATTGATTGCAAGACTTGATGTGACCTAAGTTAACAAACTGTCAGTAGTTATAATAACAGTTGAAGCATTTGTAATAATCAATAATGTTCTACTTTCAGACTTACGGGGCTATTGCTGTTTTAGCCATCTATTTATTTAATTGAGCACTTCTTAGCTGCCAACAATATGGGTGAGAAAGTTGACAAGAATGAAATAGATAATACGGAGAGGCCCACGGTGGGCATTTCCATTATCAAAATAGAGATCATCCGTGGGCAATATCAGAAGACGCAAGTGCAGTCTTCCGAAGCCCTGGCCTACCTAGCCCTCTTCCTGTTTAGTTTGGCCAATTTACGTCGTTTTAATATCAATTGATAAAGAGTGTCCAGACCTTCGTGTAAACCTTCCCCTGTAATAGCACAAGCAGGCTGCACCCTTATGCTAGAACTACCAGGCATCCCAGCCAGTTCCGAGACACCAAGTTGCTTTTCCAATTCGCTCACTTCTTTAGCACCTAAAGGCAAAATTGTGGTTGTGCAATTATATATCAAAATAATTCAATTCTAAACTAACAAAGTTTACCCAATAAATCTTGCTTATTAGCAAGAATTAAAATGGGCACACCCGCATTATCAGGACTCCTAACTGTTTTTGTAAGTTCCATTTTTGCTTCTTCAAGTCTTTCCGCATCGCAAGAATCAACAACAAAAATAATACCGTCTGTGCATCTGGTATATGACTTCCACAGAGGTCGTAACTTTTCCTGTCCACCTACGTCCCAAACTAAAAAATTTACTCCTAGGACATATAATAAATATTGGAATGTTATATGAAAATTAATGATCTCTCAATTCTATTGGTTGATATATAAAATATACCTTTTGCTTTACCAATGCCACCACGAATTCTTTCACAATTAAAACCAATGGTCGGTACAGTATTCAAATATTGATCAAATTTTAATCTATAGAGGGCAGTTGTTTTTCCTGCACTGTCAAGACCTAGCATAGCTACATGAAGCGGCGTTCCTGTGGGAAGAGCCTCGAGCAGACCACCTCCACTGGTGCTGCTTCTGCCCAACCCAGCACCCATTCCTTTCTACCCACCTTTTCCAAATTTTTAATCTCTTTATTCTCCTTTTTATAATTGTGCTTCTTACCCTGTCCTACTTTTATCAAACATCTATGCAATTGCTTTGCTTCTCTTCTGTATTGAACCTTACTTTTTTCTTATACTATGTTTTCTATGTTGATGATACGTTGTTAAAACATCTTTCTTCTATTCTTCTCATAATTTTTATCTCATCTAAGAGAAGTTTTTTTTGAGGCCAATGAGTACTGTACCACCTGAAATAAAAAAATAAAACAGTTATCGCCACGTTTTTAGTAAAAGAAACATTATAAAATAATTATAAATAAAGAGTGATTAATTTATTAATCCACTTACTTATAAATAATTAACCCACTTACATCTTTTGTTATTTTTATGTTTTTCTTCTATCAAATTATCTTCTTGAACCCTTTAAGGATCTCTTCTGTCAATCAACCTCTTCTTTCTTCTTATTATTCCTTCTGTGTACGACACAAGTGCTATTAATATTTTCATATACACATTTGTATATTAGCACTTTTCCAATATAATAATATAATAAATATTAACAATAATCAAATTTCTATACATGTCTCTCAATTGGTGTAACATTAAATACCTCACTACTGTTAGGAGAAGAAATAAAAAAAAATAAAATAAACAAACGAAATAATCAAGCTTCTGGGAAAGTTAATTACTCAACGACTTATTAATTTCTACATTCGTAATCGATCGTCTATCTTAATATTAGAGCACTCATTTGATATATTTCTAAAAATTTCTCTTGTTACGTAATTTGACGCATGTTTATTTGATACTCACTAGTTCATCTGTGCATAGAACGTATCCAAATCTATATAACACTTAGGAGGCCGTCGTCCTGAAAGGTCGCACAGTAACACATCACATCGACTTTGACATACTTATCATCGAACTTGAAAAACCGATCATAATAATCATAAAGTCACTTTAAATATCTTTACTTACTGCCTTGCGATATTATTAGCCTATTTTACTTTTATGCGTATATATACATTCTTTATCAATAAATAATTACTTGTCACCAATATAAGAAGAGACAACAAACAATCGAGGACCGGTAAACGTCGATACGTCCCCAAAAACTTATGCACAATCAACGACTTTATTACCAATATACCGACCAATAGCATAACCCATTTAACAATCAGATTTTTTAACGAAGTCGTATGGTGGCAGCACTAGTTGCCACCAATACGAGAAATAAGTGCAATAGCCAATAAAAAGATCTGATGTTTTCTATTTGTAAACTGTATTTAACAATAATGTAAGCGGCGGCTCTCTCCGAGGTAACACAGAAGTAAGAATGATACGTTCATTCCTCCTATCCCCACTTTTGACATTTTTGAGGTACACAAAGTAGGATCTTTGTGACATAATCGTAAAATCTCTATATATGCAATGAACATATTGATGTTTTACGGTCAAACGTAAATAAAAAAAAAATCATTGCTTTAATATTTTATGCTATCCGTTTCAACTTGTTCTGTTCTCTTTCTTTGTTGTATATTGAGTTAGTGTTGTGAGCCTTTGCACCAATAAGAAAAATACGTTACGCCAAGCAAAAGTGACGATGCAGTTAACCTTTCTAGCCAATGAGACTTGTAGGAGAGTCCTCCATGCGGGGTTAAGTCGCCGCATACGAACAGTACATAATGCTTTTCGAAAATCGTGTAACGCATTCATTCTTCTCGCATTGGCTTGCAGTGAATACATATGTAGGAGTAATATAGTCCTTTCTTTGCGTAGTCGATATTACATTACCGGCGTGTTTTTTAGTTTACGTAGTTATTCACATTAGTTATGTTAGTCTACGTTTGAATTTGCTATCATCAAGGTGTTGATCTAATTAAAACTTGACGTAATTATAGATTATAATCCAAGAAATTTAAATACTCAATCAATTTTGATAACTATATTATATTTAAGCTACCATTAGTTTTATAAACACAAATAATGCCACGAGGTAAGTATATATTATTTCTAATTACTCTCTATTCGATTTTTTCTCATCACTTTTTTTAAAGAGTAAAATACACGTAATTTTCAACATCTCGACTTCGAAAGATATTTTTGTTTTTGTTGTTTATTTTGATTTCAGGAAAATTTGTCAATCACAAAGGCCGTAATCGCCACTTTACGAATCCCGAGGAATTGGAAGAACAACGTCGTCAGGAAGAAGAAAAACGTCAATGGAGAGTCAGTATTTTTAGGTTAACCACCAGCTCAGCGATTTAGATATTATTATTAAGTACGTAATGTCAAATTGTCCATCAATAGTCAAATGTGACTGGGACAGATAATTGCAACAGAATATTTATGCGATGCATTGTGCTTCGTTAGTTTCTTTTTTATAACCTTAAATATTGATGAAAGTTAGAAATATTTTTAATTCAATCGGATATATAGTTTTATTCATTAAATTGAGCATATACATACTATAAAAGTTTTATCTGTTTAATTATAAGAAAATAAATGATGCATTTATCTTATTTTATTAACCAAAATAAAGAAATGCATTACATTTTATTTATTACAAAATTGAATGCATATATATATATATATTTGCATGTAACAACAATTCTAACTTTAATATTTTGTTGCATATTCAAGTGTAACAACTTTTTAAAATTTTACTATATAGATTCGGCTAGGTTTTTAATATTAGAAATTCAGATATTTTCTATTAGTTACATAATTTTAATTTTCGTTTCTGTGAAGGTTAATGGTCTAGAAATGACCCATCTGGTAGTAGGACGAAAGTGCGGTATAAAGTTTTTACACTTTAGGATTTGCTCATGCAAATCATTTCATACCTCAAATGTATTTTTATTAATAATCTCTCGATTTTCATTTCACATTCTCGAATGATTAATACTCTTAATATCAAAGCTCTATGATTGAATAAATCTTTTGTTAGATCTCTGTTTTATTTGTTAAATAAAAGTTTTCTTCTAGAAACGTAAATCTGGGGAATTTGACAGAGTATGTAATAATTTTGAAATAATATGTACCAACTATTCTCTAATTTTATACGCCAGATAATTAGAGTCATTATTACGATAGAAATAATTTATTTTAATATTATATATTCAAATTTTCAGTTAAATGCTTAAAATTTTTTTTTTTTAATACTGAATTATTCTATTATTTTGTCTCTATAATTGTATTAACAAATTCAATATTTCGTTAATTTCATTAGTTGTCACATGACTTAACCATCCTCCCTTATGTTCTACAATTAGTATTATTCTTATTAAATAACATATTTGGCTTTTATCACAATATAATTCTATCATCAGCAAATTCTAGACATTTAAGTTTAATGAAACAAATAAAATTTTTATAGCGCTTGTGTACGCTCAATTTTGTGAGTAACTATAAGATGAAAGAAAATTATACGTCATGACCAATACAGCTCAATTCTACACTTTTTAATCAGTAGAGATTAGGTAAACAAAGTTGTGGCAACATTGACTTTGAATTTAAAATTCTTTTTGTTTTAAATCATATTCTATTTAACGTGCAGATAAAAAGTCTCAAAGGAACTATGAGTTGGACAACAAATTTGACAAAATTTTCACCTGATTTCTGACTTGTATTAAAATAATATAATATTAATTCTTTATTAACAAAATGTTGATCTTAATTTGAAAAACGCATTGATCTAAAATTTCTTATGAATTTCCTTCCATTACTTGTATTGAATTTCTGTAATATTTCCTTAACAAAGTATAATTCCCTGATGCTTCGTTAATAGCATATCGTTTACTTTATATCTTATTGTAAATATAAATATATTGTAAAAAATCTATGATCCCTTTTTGACTTTTTTTTCTCGTTAGAAATAAATCTCACATTCAAGGTCTATGTTGTTTGTTTATCTAATCTCCAATTTAAAGGTGTAAAATCAAACTGTTTTTCTAAGGTGTTCTAGGAATATCAATTTCTTATATATGAATACACAAGAGAGCGAGAAAGTAATTTAAAATGTTATTTGTATTTTTTATTAATAAAATTGTATTATATATATATATCGATATTTCAAAGTATTAATGGCTTAAATCATATCGTAATAGATAATCGTTAATAATAATAATTTTATATCTATATATTTTTAGCAATCTAATTTTTAATATATAATACTTAATATTTTGATATTCAGACATTTAGTAATTACATGCTATTTACATTAATACTGTATAAACGACGCACACTGCAACTATCTTTTATATAACTAAAAGAATAATGCAATGTGTACAAAAAGATATATGTTTATACATATGTTAATGTACACAGAAAATCCTACATTAATGATGTAAAATAATATCATTAATTTAAACAAAACTACCAAATATTTTTACATTAAAATTGGCAATTATTTCATTTATTTTTTTTCAGAAAAATAAAGGTAATGAGTCATCTAGCGAGGAAGAAGTAGAACCCAAAGCACGTGGGAGTAGGAACAAATCGAAAAATGACAGCGAGACTGATACTGAAACTGAATCGGAGTCTGAATCAGAAACAGAGGTAGTTAAAATTTATTTACTAATTTTATTTTGTTTAATATAAATATTAATTAGTATTTTTGTTTGTTTGTTTCTTTTTTTTTTTAAGGGTAAAGCGAAAGGAGTTGAGAATTTAATTCAGGTGGAGAATCCAAACAGAGTACAAAAAAAAGCAAAAAAATTATCGCAACTGAATCAATCATTAGATTCTGAAAAGCCTGAATTGTCGCGAAAAGAAAAGTAAATAATTTTAATATTTTTCTTATTTATATATTATTTTGCCATTTTGGTTAAGAGTAAAAAGATTTATGTAATAATTAAAAAAATATCTATGAATATTTGTTAATTTCAGAGAGCAGTTAGAAAAGCAAAGGGCCTATGCAAATTATCGGAAATTGCATGCTGCTGGAAAAACCGATAAGGCTAGAGCGGATTTAGCACGGTTAGCAATAATTAAACAACAACGAGAAGAAGCTGCAAAACGAAGAGAAGATGAGAAGAAACAAAAAGAATTAGCACAACAAAAGAAAACTGAATTGACACAAAAGGCATTGGGTAAAAGAACCTAGATTATTAAAATCATTCAAATTAAATTACACCATTATCTATGTGTTATATTATGCTAATTTCCTATACAATTCAAACCTACTTTCATATTATGGAAATTGAATTAAATGACTATGAGTAAATATGTACTCTAAGCATTTGATGGGTATATCCTAAATTGTTTAAATAAAATTACTGTAATAATATTTAAAATTAATTGTTTTTTTCTAAGCTTAATACTTTCATACTTATCATATATAAACATATACGCACACACATATATATTTAGCAGAATATTATGTGATATCATCTTGAATATATACTATTATTTTTTTTTCGAAAAAAAAAAAAAAAAAAAAAAAAAATAAAAGAATCAAAAATGTCATTCCTTTCATATTTTTAAATTTATTATTCTTTTTTAACTATTTTAAATATATCGGTATCATATATAAAATATATTTTTTGGATAAATAGAAATATTAATAATTGTAGAATATTTATAACTCAAAAAACAAAAACTAATTTTTTCTTGCTTTCAATGTTTGACAATAAATAGAAGTTAATTTGGTTATGTATCCAATTTAAAAAAAAAAATATTATTAGAAAAATATTTAAAATGGTATTTAAGTGGGCAGAAGAAGAAGTGGTAAACTTATTAATTCTCTATGGAAAATATGAATATTTAAATCCATTTGATCATTTTGATAAAAAAATATACATATATAGAGTATATAAACATATAGTAGATGTCATGAATATACCCTCTTTAACAATATATGATTGCATTAAAAAAATAGAAGATTTAAAAAAGCAATATTGTTTTGAATTATCAAAAATTGCGGCTGCCATATTATGTGGAAAATTGTATGAATCCCAAACAAAATATTTTAAACTAATGCATGAACTATTTTTCCCATTCATTAACTCTGATAAACAAGTAAGTATTCTATAAAATTAATATCCTTCTCGCCACATTTATTATAAAAATATATAATAAGTAATTTGAGTTATATAATAATCAATATGTAAGAAAAGAGTTCTATAAAAATAACGTCTTTTATAGCAAAATAATATTACAAAATATATGGTTAAAGATGTTTGCACAGAAATAAATTTAATGGAAAAAAGAAATGATGATGAGTTTGATATGTTTGCAAAGAATATAGCTTATCAGTTGCGAAATATTAATTTAAGTAAGTATAATTAAATAAAGTCAATAATAAATCTAATATGATTAATTTTTTTTACCTATTTCTTTTATATAGAAACTGCTATTGAATTAGAAAAAAGAATACAAGATTTAATAACAGAAGAACGTCTAAGTAATAATAAATATTTTCTTTCTAGTGACAATATTATTTGTTGCTGTAGTTGTAGTAATTGTAAAGAAATTCGTCAAAAGAATAGTTTTCAATTACCAATAGCCGCTAATAGTCAAATATTCAGAACTAATCAAACGTAAAATTTATTTGAGAAAGTCATTTGTTATAAATAAATGGAAGAAATAATATGAACCTTTAACTTCATTAGTTTAAAATGTTTTTATCAAAAATGGTGTTTTTATAACTTCTTCTGCTTCACGTTTATGTAATTTGCTTTCGCCATCAGCTGATGCTGCCATAGTAGGACGTCCACAGTATTTTAACTGAAAATATAATAATTATTATTAATATACTATATACATTGATACAAACTGCATTTGTATATAACTTACTTGTCGACCACATAAATTTTCAAAACGTGACTTCACAAAATTCCATGCTCCCATATTTCTAGGTTCTTCTTGACTCCATATAAAAACTATTTTAAAAAACTTAATATATAATAATTCAAAAAAGAAAAAGATAATAGATTAACTTTACAATAAAAATTAATTTGTTATTATTAATAACACAATAATGGAATATTTTTATTTAATAAATTCCAATATTTATTATACTTACGTTTTGCATTATTATATTTTTGTATTTCTTCCAATAATTCTTTTAAAGGAAATGGACAGAGACATTCTAATCTAATAATTGCAACATTACTTTCTTTAATAGTTTTTCTATAATCTTCAAGGGCATAATAATGTTTTCCACTGGTTAAGATTACTTTATTTATCTTAGACGTATCTATATTATCATTTCCTTGAAATATATATAATTATTTATTTTCTTATTATATTTTAAATATATTTTATAACATATTAATAGATATTTTTTACCTATAACAGGCTTAAAACTCGTACCAGGCTTCATATCCGCCAATGATGACGTAGCGATCGCATGTCGTAATAATATTTTAGGTGATATTATAATTAATGGTTTTCGAAAATTCCTTATCATCTAGAAAAAATATGAATAGAAAAATATGAAAAGTTTAGTTAGTGGTATTTTAGTTTTTACGGAAAAAATATTTAGGATTATTGCAAGAATCACTTTTGATGCTAAGCAATTGTCTAGTCAATGTCATTGGTATTTTTTTTAAATAAAACATTAATTTTTATAGCATAAATTAATTCATTGTGACTTTCTAAATGAAAAAAAATCGGAATATAATCTCAAAGAAGAAAAGGATATGACTTATTTATAATTGCTAAACATTTTTTCAAAATACATACTAATCATATATTTTGTTTGATATTATAATTTTAATATTATTTTATTCAGAAAAGGATGACCAATCGATTCGTGTAAAAGAAAAACTTCGTTAGATTCTACTTAAGAAATTACCGATGACTTGAAATTTCGAAAAATTGTATAAATTTTCTATCAAATATACTTAATATTCTTTCTTTTCGACTTATTTTTGCATATAGAATCACCACCCAACAGGTTGTACCACGATTTTTGGGACATTATATATATTCATGATTCTATTCATCATTTAATTTATAATTAATTACATAAGACATTCCCGTAATATGATGAAACAATTTATTTATGGCCATACCTGCCTTCTCAATAAATGAAAATACTGTGCTGGTGTAGTAGGATTAACTACTTGTATATTAACATCTTCACCATCAACTTCGTTTTCTTTACTATTTGTTAGTTGTAAGAATCGTTCAATTTTACATGAACTATGTTCTGGACCAGCACCATCATAACCATGAGGCAAAAGCATTGTTAATCCACTACTGAGCAACCACTTTGCTTCACCACTTGTTATAAAAGTATCAATAATAATTTGCGCTCCATTAAAAAAATCTCCAAATTGTGCCTCCCAAATAGTTAAAGTTGTTGGGACTGTTATACTCATACCGTATTCATAACCCAGTACCGCTTCTTCTGATAAAATACTATTTGCTAATTCTAATTTTCCAATTTGTTTATCCACAATGCAATTTAATGGAATATAAATGTCTAAAAGATAATTAAATGTTTAATTATAATTTCTATAGATAATGTAATATTATGGAAAATATGAAAGAGATTATGGAAAAGATTTCATATTACTAACTTTCAGTATTCTGATCAACAAACATAGCATGTCTATGGGAAAATGTTCCTCTACCTACATCTTGTCCGCTTATTCTAACGTTGTAACCTTGATAAAGTAAGGATCCTATAGCCAATGCTTCTGCACTAGCCCAATCTAACTGTTCACGAAATATTAATTTTCTCAGTCGGCCTTGAACGTGATTCTTCAGCAATTGAGGGTGAATATTCTAGAATAAATAATACAATTATCTTTTAAAGATAATTTGTAATAAATCATACATAAATATTTTATTAGCATTTCTATTCATTTGGTCAGTATGCTGTAAAATAAATGGTCAGAATATATAAATATTTATTTTAGCATAAATAATAATTTGATAAAATTTTAAATAGATGGTCAGTATTTATAGGATTACGTATTGATACAGAGTACACACTGATATTTTATTAAAAATACTGACTATTTATTTAAAATAAATTATCAGACATCTTGAAAAATACCGACCCAATAAATAGCTACTTTATTTATTACTTATATACATACACTTACCCAGTTTGTTTCTACATGGACACTTCTTTCCCCAATAAATCTTAACAAATCAATATCAATACCTGTATCCCACTGAGTTATACTGTGTTCAGCTTGTTTCATGCCAGTCCATCTGCCTGACAAGTGTATTGCTTGTGGAACGTAATTTTCAACTTGTTTGAGAGCTTCAGACAGACGCTTATTATATTCTTTCACAATATTTTCTTTTCTAGTCTTTGTCAGGATATTTGACTCAATTAATTTCTCTACATATCGATCTGGTATAGATCTAAAGGATTAAAAATCTCATATTTTATTTTTTATCAATTTATTGATATAATGATATAGTCAAATATTATACTTACGGACGATTTTGTATAATTTTGTATATTCTTGGATTTGTAAAAGTTGGATCATCTAATTCATTGTGACCCCATCTTCTAAAGCAATTTATATCTATAAAAATATCTTTCTTGAATTTCCTTTGATATTTAAATGCTATTCTTGTGGCTCGTATAACCATCTGTAAAAATCTTGCTGTATTCAAAGTAATTGATGTGTAAAACATTTCACACACATAAATTTAAATGTAATATATCTACTTCTGGTTCATCTCCGTTAACATGAATTACAGGAGCTGCAATCATTTTTGCCAAATCTGTGCAATATCTAGATGATCTACTTCTAGAAGGTGGAGTTGTAAATCCTAATTGATTATTAATTATTAGATGAATTGTACCTCCTATCTCAAAGTGAGGAACGCCACTTAATGCTAGACATTCTTGATTAATTCCTTGTCCCATATAAGCAGCATCACCATGAATCTTAAAAAGAGGTCAACAAAAACTTATATTTATATTTTCATTTGTATATTTTATAATATACATGATGCCAGATGTTTTTCTGTGCAAACGTTATGAACATATTCTAAGCACAAAAATAAAAAAAATCTTCTATATATATATATATATATATATATATATGTTTATGACATGACGAATTTCTTGTGGATTTCTATTAATTTCTACAATTGCATTTCCGATTTGTCCTATTATAACATGAAGTGTAATTATCTTAGTTGCATAAATTTCTTGTTTTATTTTCCCCCATAAATAAAAATTGTAGTGGAAGTGAGATCAAATGTATTAAGTAGTCAAGCTATTTTTCATAAAAGAATACGTTGAATCACTCCAAGATAGTAAGCAACATACATAGAACCACTAAACATCATCTTTGAGCAATATGTTTAGACGATTTTATAATTTATGTTATAATTTTTTAATAAAGCTATAAATGATCCCTATGTTTATATAACCTTTTTTCCTTATTTTTGTGCGTAGAATACGCTTACAATGTTTGTACAGAAAAAAATTTGATACCCTGTATAATATTTAAAGTTAGATATATTAATAATTACTTGTAAGTTCAATACTTTATTACTCCACCATGCAGAGTGATCATCACTATATGCACCATCTTTGACAATTTGCATTATTCCCCGAGTCTTTCCCATGGAAACTGGATTAACAGCTTCTAGATGCGATGGATTACGGAGCATAGTAACATGTAAATTTTTATTATCAATTTCTAGATTTATGGAAGACACCAAATGACTTGCAACATCACCTGTTGTCTTTGCATCATCTGGAAATTCTGAAGATTCTTTAAGCTTATAAAATAATTTTTCTAGTGGAAAATTAAGCATTCCTGTTAGAAAATTTAAACGTCCACGATGTGGCATACAAAGAACAATATCAGTTAAGCCACCTGTAAAATGAATAGAAAAATTATTAGAATCCTTTTTATTTAAATAATACTTTTACCTTTATATACTTACTATTTACAGACAAATTAAAAAATTCATGAAAAAAAGCCATCATGCTTTCAGCTCCTTCTCCGCTATATCTCTTAAAGCTTACAAATTTTGCAGCCAGAAAATTATCAAGTGTTTGACTTTTTAACATTTCTGTTGCAATAGCAATACGTGTTTTATTATCCAATGATTCCATTAAACACATTTCTGTGACGTTAGAAAACCATTCCCTTTCTTCTTCAGTCTATTAAAATAATAATAACAATAGTAAATGAATTATTAATAATATATATTTATTAATAAATTATTAAATTACAAAAAAATAAAATATAAATGTATTACGTACATTGTTAACATATCTGTCTCATTAGATACAAACGGAACATCAAAATATATAAAAAAAAAAAAAAAAGAAACAATAGATAAATATATACCGCTAGCAAGAGAAATAGAAAGAATACGGAAACAAAGACAGATTTTCATACTAACGCTTATAATTTCAATTACCAATATAACAATTAAATTATTTACACACCTATGATAGCTCCGACTAAACTCACAATCAGACATGCACAGATATATTTAAAAAGGTATTATCCTAAAGATAATATGTAGCGTAGTCCTCTTATTCTTTAAACAAGACTATCTGCTAAACTTGATAAGGACAAATCCATTTAGAAGCAAATAAAAATCACTCAAGGGTGGGAAAAAATTGGTAAATAATAATAACAATAATAATGAATAACATTTAAATATGTACACAATATAATTATTAAAATAATGAATTATTAAAAGATGATATATATATTTACCTCAAGATAATTAAATTCGACTCCAATATGGGAACAATAAACAGTATTCAAAAACTTCAGTGCTTCCGAAACAGTTCCTTCCTTTTGTTTTATCTCTAAGATTCCTTTAAAAGATACATTATCAGTTAGATTTAACCCAAATTTTTCTGGTTGCAATTCCGCAAGTGTTACTTGTTTGCTTAATGATATAGGATTTATATTGGCCTGTTTATGAGCAAACTGTCTATATGCCATAACAAGCCTATAAAAATTACTGTTTTTAACTCGTATCTCTAAGTCTTCTTTTGACACTGTGTGTGAAAATTAGTATATTAAATAATAATAATTATGATATTTAAACAAAAATATATAAATAAACTGATTAATTTAAATACCTTCCAAATGTTTTTGTGCTTGTTTGGGTTTATATCCATAAACACCATTTTCACTGTGATACAATTGAATAACAACATTACGTTTACAACAAATATGTTTTATTTGTAAAATATTTTTATTATATTGTGTAATTTTTCTTTTTAAATGTAATTTTAAACTGGTATATGTTTTTAGTGCCATGATTGTTAGAAAAATTAAAAATTTATATCGAGAAGTCAACTGCTGCAAGTAAGCACGTTTTCTCTCAATTATGTGTTATATGCTACTACTCAATTAATAACTGCACATACGATAATTCTTATCTGTTTACTTAAAAAGTCCGTATAGTCTTATTTTACGAATTTATCTTTACATAGATTGCTTGTTTGGAAGGAAATGTTATCAGCCAAGGAAATGAACAAAGAGAAAAGAATATAAAAAAATAGGATTTAAAAAGAGACAAAAATATTTTACAAACGTTTATAATGTTATTTATTATATCTTACTATATTCTGACTATATAATGTAATATATATATA